TCTTTATTTGGTTCAAGAACATCAACTAATGTTGCTTATGGCCTCCACAAACAGCTATGGAGCAGGAATAACGCAATAGAAAATGAGATAGTGTGTTAAAACCTAAAGAATCATGATCCTGAATACTTGGTTCTACCAATATGAACTTTGATTTATTTGGATGGTTAAATAGCTCAGCTGATGCTAAACTGTTTGTAAATGTGCTTTGCTAAAGTGAATCTGAGTTGCAGCAAAGGAATAGTCACATCACACTGCCGTGGTTGAAACGCTAAACTCAGCAAAGTAATCAAACCCTGAAAGGACTGGAGTTTGGCTTCTTTCTTTTCCCCACCAAGAAGGCCACCAGAGGTGACTTAGGACTAAGAATAAGGTGGTTTATTCTGCCACAGGAAATTCTGTTACCCACTCAGCAAGTTTGAGGGCACTTTTTGGTAGCGCTTAGCTACAGCTAGAAGGTTATGCAAGTCGAAGATTTGATGTCAAAACGTAATGAGCCAGAGGCCCCAGATGCCTTTCTATCATCTAAGTTGTTGGTGCTGAAACAGCCCAGAGAGGACACATGCAGGGTTTCCCCGAAGTGGTGTTACCATTCCGAGAGAAGGCAGACAAAAGAGTTTTATTAGCCATGGGAAATACAACCAAAGCTTCTGCAAAGAGCATGTCATGAGGCTTCCTGGGCAGTGAAAGCTGCGTGGTGGTTTACAAAATGGTACACTTTAATGATTGTTAATTGCACTGTGCTCTTTTAATACATGGGAAGCCTTCAATATCTGAATATCTACTGAGCATCATGTTGGGAGGGAGAGGGAGAAAGACATGGGGGCTTTTAGGAGCGCATTTGCTCTTTGTGAGCCACATCTTACATCTAGCTGAGCAGAGGAAAATAAAAAAGCCAGAGAAAATGTCAACAGTGGGTTCAATTGACCTGGAGACTGAGAACATCAGGAATCTCAAGCTATTTTTACAGCTTAACTTTGCTTTTAGGAACATTAACACTTCAAAGTATATGATTGTGCCTCTCGTCCATGGTTCCAAGTTTTTTCCTTGATTATGGTCATTTTTTTTTTCCCACGAGAAGAAACTTTGCATCAATTTATCATAGAACAAGGTTGATTTCTGCCTCTCCTAAAACCTTTAAACAACTGTGTGCATCAACACTTTTACACATCCCACTGAGAGTTAGAGACCCAAAACATCCACTGCTGTTACTACTTGACTTTTTAGCATGAATATGGCTGTTAGGAGGAGCAAACTGAAGACTGTATATTCCACCAGCTTGCCAATCAGATGCTGTTGGTATTTGGAAGATAGTAATGATAAACGCTTAATCAGGTGATTTACTAATAACATACCTGCTACCAGAGTGTGTTTCCAAAGTAAATCAAACTCTTTGCTCTGGTTTCAGGAAGGATTTTGTGGTTATTTCCTACCTGCAGCAGAAATCGCATGCTGTCTGTTTGCCTTATGGGTGGGAATATTTATAGGCTTTTATATTGTGCTTAGAAACATCAAATCAGAAACCCTGAATAGAACACTAGCTCCAAGGTTGTGCACTCCGTTTTCTAAATTCTTTTTAAGCCACATAGTAATCAAAATACTTTTCAAATAATTCTCTGTGTTTCTCAGATTTTTGTGCTTTTGTATGCATGGTGTGCATACATCTCATTCTCATGGGTCATCGTTGGAGACCTTCTTGCAGCCTTTCAGTACTTAAAGGGGACTTAAAAGAAAGACGGGGACAGACTTTTTAGCAGGGCCTGTTGCAACAGGACAAGGGGTAACGGTTTTAAACTAGAAGAGTGTAGATTTAGACTAGATCTAAGGAAGACATTTTTCATAACGATGGTGGTGAAACCCTGGCCCAGGTTGCCCAGAGAGGTGGTCGATGCCCCATCCCTGGAAACATCCCAGATCAGGTTGGACAGGGCTCTGAGAAATTTTCTGTAGTTGCAGATGTCCCTGCTCATGGCAGGGGGGTTGGACTAGATGGCCTTGAAGGGTCACTTCCAACCCAAACCATTCTATGGTTCTTTGATTCTATGATCTATGTGTTGATGGGATCAATGTACGCAAGAAGATTTTTGCTTTATACAAAATCTATTAATTAAAGACAAAAGTTAACATATTAATGCAAGCCTTTTATCTCTGTGTGGTAACACAGCATCTATGCTACAGACAATTCTGTCATATTTTTTACATTGGGACATTGTAAGACACTTTGAAAGCATTTAGGAATGAATGGTGACATGGAATGGTTGATTCACTTGCTCAAAGGGACGGATGATCTGCAAAAAAGCCCTAGCACTTCCAGGCTACCAGTTCTGTCATTACACTGAAACAAGATTTTCCCCTTGTTAGACATTTCCTCTCAGGTGTTTTAAAATGCATTTTACATGCCTGGAAGAAATGCTCATAGCTTTCCCACTACGCCCAAAACAATGCTGAATTCTTCACCTTCATTTTCTTGCTGTAAATAATGATCTACAAGCTACAAATTCCTCCTAAGGAGAGAAGGGGAAACAATGTCCTTTGTGGGAAACAATGGCTTTTCCATGTGTTCCTAAGGGTTTGTGTAGCACTTAGACTGTGATAGCCAAAGGACAGAGCAATTCAAATGATCTGGTAAAAAAAAAGGAAGGGACCTTTAAAAATCATCTAGCCCACTGGCTCAATTCCTGCTTGAACCTGTAATGCCCAGTATAAGCTCATGCAAGTCATTGAAATGTGAAGACATCTGGTAGATGGAGCTGGGATTAAGCACTTAGGGCCAGCAGAGGCATACGGACTGCTTGCTGTCTAGGATTGCCTGAGTTTGGAGGAGTGAAGAGTTGTCATTCTGCATTGAACTACAAGCTTCCGTGTGGTTAAACATGGGAGCTCACACATGCCCCGATCACCTGAGCCCCTGACCCTGTAACAGCTCAGCAGCACCTGGGTGACACTCTGGTCCATGGAGAGGTCCAGACTGGGTGGCGTTCTCAGGCAGCACCCAGTTCTGAGCTTAGCACCAAAACTGCTGGCGGAGGGGTGCACGAAATGCCTGCTAGGGCTTGTGAAGCTGTGAGCACAGAGTAAGTGAATTAACTCACAATTGCATTTTAACACCCAAACAAGTGAACTGAGTCGGTCCTTTAATGTGCTGCAGTTCTCTTTTTCCTTTCTGTGAAGTAGACGTAACAGATTCCTACCTGATGAGGTTTTATGAGGTTAATAGCTATGAAGTGCCCAGGCATTCTGGTGATGAGGGTCATATAAACACAAAGATGTTATGCCAACACATCAATGTCAAATGCTTGATGCAAATTCCTTGTTCCTGGTCTGATTTCCTCTCTTCCCTTGCACAGTTTCTCTGCCAAGTAAATATACTCCTTTCAGGTGAAAGTATTGGCCACTCTGCCTGAAGTAACCTGATTGAATTACCAGTTGTGTTGGTAGTGTTCCCTCTTGGTATGTGTACCCATACAAAAATGTTTTGAGTTTTGAATGGGTCATCGGGAGACCTTCCTTGCTGTGCTTGCTTGTTGTTTTAGGAGAGTTTTAGGAGTTTTAAGAGAGTATTTTCTTTCTTAATGGTTAAGACTTTGTTAACAAACCCAGTCCCTGCTCACATGGTAAAAGGAGAGTTTTGCTCTCCATTGTGTTTTGTGATATTGTAGTAGTGCAGAGAAGCTTACTCATGTTAACAAATGGTAGATGACCTAACTGAGACTGAAGGGAAAAAAATCACTGATTTTGCTAAACATGCTGTTTTGGAGAACTACTCAGATTACTTTTCAGTCATCTTGAAAAGATTGTCCCTGATGCACGGGTTTAAATAAACTAACCTCTTGTCCCTGACAGTGTTTGCCAAGCTCAGATGTATCTTTGTGAATAAAATGAGAGCAATAGGCAATGGAAATAATCTCTTTCTTTCCTGGTGTTGTTTATGTTAAATGGCTGTGATGCTAGTGCCATTGTACAGTTTCTTCGAGAAATTATAGTGTAAAATATCAAGGCATTCCCTTAAAAAAGAAATGTCATTCAAAGTGTAGCAAATATCGGATCATTTAGCTGTGTAGAGCCTGAAGCTAAACTGGGTACTGACTGAGTATGAAATGTTTGTGTTGGGGACGGAAGAACCGATACAAGAAGCCACATTCTTTTGCTTTATATTTTCAGAGGGCAAGTATTAGTTGTATAAGCATATGATTTTCCATACTCCTCATACATGTGTTTTGCTTTTTAAGTATTCTGTCTTGTTGCTTAACTTCACTTGTCTTTATGTAATGCCTTGAGATGGATTCACGTGTGCACTGGATGACTTTGCATGGCCGGGAAACCTACAGATAGTTATGCCCTGATATCACACAAATCTAAGTGGTGCTGTTTGTTTTCAAATCTTGAGGATGTGTCTTTGATCTGAATAGGAGAAGCTGAGTTGTACTAAGGAGTGCTCACCGTCGCTCGCATTCCTGGTGCTGAGCACAAAGGCATGTGTGCAAGATGGATCTTAAATTGCCTTAGTTTTCACTTAGTCTTATTCGGGAAAAACTGTCAGATATACAGTGCTTCTGTATATAAGTGGTAGGTTAAAAAAAACGACCAAAAACCAACTTATATAATACACTATGAATACAGCAAAGCAAACCAGCGTGCAGTTTCCTGGGATTTATTGGTATGTTGATAAATAATGCTCCTTGTATTTTGTGTTCACCATATTGTTACCCCAGCCTTGGGAGCTTTCTGAAACACTGTGCCTGGTTATTCTCTCAGGCAGACCACGAGTCGGGAGCGGTTCTCCTGGAAGAAGCAGAGTGATCCAAAACAAGTTTAAGTGGGTGGAAAGACCTAGGAAGTTGGTATAGTAGAAGCAGCAGGGGCTGTCTAATTACATGAATCCCATTCTTGTCCTGAAGCAATGACCACTACTAAGGCAGGGAAGCGAGGGTTTAGAAAGTGCCCCTGTAGTTCTGAAATTCTCCCAAGCAGAAAAAGATGACTTTTCTCATTGCTCACCACAGCCATGCACCTGTTTGGCCTAAACTGGCACCTGCAGCCGATGGAAGGGCAGATGTATGAAATCACGGAAGACACAGCCAGCAGTTGGCCAGTGCCAACGGACGTCTCCTTATATCCTTCGGGGGGCACAGGGTTAGAGTTACCTGACAGGAAAGGCAAAGGAACCAGTGAAGGTATGGTTGGTGTGTGTCCATGTTGTGAGTCTTCTGTCTGCCTCTGAACTCCAGCCATCCAATCTCATGTTCCATTATCCTAAATGCTGCCATCATCAGGTGCTTTTTCCAGTCTTTCACATCTAGAACTAGTAGTCGTCGGTCTTGTTTCCATATGTTTTGAAGTTTCATACCCTTTTAATGTGCACTAATGTGATAAAACTGTGTGCAATCCTCACCACACATCTAAGGCGTTCTCCAGGTGGAACCATCTGTACCATACCTCACAGGCCACAGAAGGCCATCATGAAAACCCTGCCACAAGTGTCTTGAAAATTAAATTGTGTCTTGAAAATTAAACAGCTCCTGGAGCATTGGATCAAGCTTTCTCTACAACAGTACGAAAATATTTGGGTTTGCCTACTTGTTGCCACCTAGTACCAAACATTTTGAGGACCAAAATATTTACTAAGAGCTATTACACTGTGAGTTTTGGCACTCCAGAGTTGGACATCTCTTTGCAAAAGTAGCCAGATAAAAGACCTGACTCCACAAAGTATCATGATGTTGACAGCTTGCATTTTAACTGAAATTAGAAGCAATTGATGGTTTCTCAATTCACAAGTGTATTATCCAGCAGCTTTACATCTTACTGTGCTTTGTACAGAGGCAGCACTGCCAAACGTACCTGTTACCTCTGCAAAGCAAAGGTGTTTTATCCCTCCCAAGACTTAACCGGAGAAATGAGAAATTCAAATTTTCAGAAAGCTTTTTTGTTTGTGTCAAGCTTCTTTAGATGAGGTTAACAGATCTCAGAAAAATTGAAGTCATTGGCTATTTTTGGTAATTAATTAGGGGGAGGAAGGTTTGTATGTAAGAGATAAGAAGAATGCTACTGTTCTGGCAACTCACTGAATTCAAAAGTGTCTACACAGTTCTCTAGACTTTGGCTGAGAGCCTATGTTTACATGTTTAATTTAAATTAATTATAGTATTTTTTTCTTTAAGAGCTTATCTGTCTTTATTAGTCCAAATAAAGGCCATAATTATGTTTGTTCCTTAAAACAGTATATTTACTAGCAACTGATGGCTGACATCAAGTCGCTACAAGGAAAAATCAGCTAAACAGGTTATTCTCAGCAAACCTTACTAGACAGTACAGCAAGCTGCAGATATCCCTGCTGTTGTATTAAAAAATATTTCACGACAGATCATTTCCCCCCCCCCCAACTTGCCATATGTTTCATTTTTGAAACATTTAATTTTGATCTGTCCTTTTCCTTTTAAAAGTCAAAATGAACACAAATTCTGTGATTCTGTGATTCTGTGGATGTATCCAAAACTGCCGTCCAAGTCAAAGACCTCCACTTGATTTCTTTTTCAGCCATGCTTACAGTGACATCAGTAGAACTTTTGAACCAAAAGGCTCTGTTAGAAGAGAAATTTGGGAAATACTCTAGTTATGTCATTAAAAGATCCCTTGAGTTAGCACTTTGTATAGATCTTAGGGAATCTGTAGGCTTTAGGGGAGGATATTTTGTCCTGAGTGAAAAACACATCAGAACAACATCTTTATTGCAGGAGTAACACTGTCCAGCCTTAAAATATATCTCTCTCCCCATCGGGTGACTATGCAACTAATTCTGGACTAGCAGCATTGCACAGCTGCTAATCTAAACCAGAAGGTATATGATTGAAATTTATTAAAAAATGGACTGATTGAAATATATTTGAAAGTCTTCTCGATCACAGTGTAATAGGCTGGGATGTGTTTGAATAGCCTTAGAGCTGATCTGAATGAATCATTACCAATATCTTGCCAGTTCTCAGTAACAGTCATTCCTTCTCATCTGTGGCAGTGCTCCTGCACAGCATTTACCTGTGTTTAAGCCCATCCTCTTCAGCAAAGCGCTTAATCACATGCTTACATTTAAGCACAGAATTAACTAACTGATTGAAGTCAGAGAAATATAAGTCTGTTCTTAAGTGTTTTGATGAGTCAGGGTACCTTGCTATCAAAAAATACAAGCAGATTCAGCCAGGGCTGAAATGAAATAGATCATTTTGATATCCAAATAAATTAGGAATAGTTGCTACGGCAACTAAAAAGTTCAAGGTAATGTGTGGAAAGAGCAAAGTAATTGACAGCCCAATTAAGAATTCAGACCTGAAGTTAATTTTAAGGAGTCAGATATTCTGATTAAAACCTAATTTCTGATTAGAAGCTGAAATGGCTTTCTTATTGTACTTTCTTTACGAAGTCCATAGGGCCTGATCCTGCTGTAGGTTAAAACCTGATGAAACACAGAGGGATTTCAGGGGCTGAATTCAGCCTGGTGAAGAGAGCCTTTCTTCGGATGTCTGTATCAGGATAAATGTCAACCATGGGCAACGTGATAGAACAGCTTTTAGGATATCAGCTTCTCAGACATACGGCTGTCCACCAAGAGGAGACATAAACTTTGTAACTGTGTGTACAAACAATTATTTCTGTGAAATTGTCTTTTGCAATCACAGAAGCATTTTTTCTTGCATGAGCAAGCGCTGCTCTCCGTACAGGCAGAATACGTATTGTGCTCTTTTTCTCCAGGCTCTCTCATGCATAGCAACATCTATTATATTAAATTCTCACAGTCTTTATTAATGAACAATCAGGGTGCACATCAAATACTTTAGGTTTTCATCTGAATTTTTAAGAATCTCTAAAATATGTCAGTAGTAATTGCAAAAATATATCCTTCATTTGAACCAAAACATGTGATGTCTTTAGCTCTTTTTTAATAGAATCCTGAATCTTTTCATCTTACAATAATGGAATAAGAAACTTTGCATAAGGACACGAGAACTGTTTCCTTTAATCCTGACAGTGTGAAAAGTAATTTTTAGTATGCCAAATAAATATCAACAATGCAGTTGATAAAGTGATTTCCTTTGGAATCAAGCTAGTTGATTTTCATTGTACAGTTGTATTCGATCAGGACAAAATGATTCGGAAAGAATGTCCATTTACCTAAGCTGCTTCTGATTATCTCTATTAATACACACTTTGACTAAAAAAGGATAAAAAAGTCATCAGATTTTCCCCCTGTATTTATTTGAATGCAATGAGCGAAGGTAAATGAGGATCTTATAAAATTACGACTACCTTTTTTTCTATCAATGCGTATACACACTGTGCTGTTATGCATAAAATTTCTGCCACAAGATAGCCCAGAAATGAAGCGTGCCATCAAGTCCCACTCCAACAGCGTACTTAAGCAGTTGCTAACTTTAAATCAGGGGTTAGTCTTATAGGGACCAAAAGTTCTGCTAAAAAATTTTACATAATTAAAAAAAAAAAAGAAAAATTCTCCATTCTACAAAGAAACACCTCCAGAGACTTCTTTTGTTAACAGTTAATATGCATATAATTTCTGTATGGATTTTCAGAGACAGCTAACAATTTGCATCTGTTTCTCCTAGAGAGTTTATTCTGGGATGGTATATGGAGAAGTTTAGGAAATATTATAGAAAAAAAATAAGGAAAATTATGTAATATTAAAGGAAATATTAGAATTTGAAACAATAAAAATTGTTGAAAGGTTGTTCTACCAATCACCTTTTCAACATGACAAGCAAATTCTAAGACTATTTGACTTGAATTCATGGTGGGTGGGAAAAGATATTTTTGTTTCCCATTTCCCAAGTGTACGTTCTGGAAGAAAAAAATCTCACAAAATGATTCTGCTACAAAAGATTGTATGTACTTGAAAGTTTCTTCCTCGTTTTGTTAGAATCCTTGATCTGAGAAACACAGAGTAGTGTGCTGTAATGGCACGGAGATGAGCTAACAAATTTATTTGAATTTCTAAAATTAATAATTAGTCCTTGTTGGTAACATGGTGCTCTTCTTACTAAAGCCAAAATATTTCAGGTGACACTACTGCATACTTTTCAACTAGAAGTGTCCTTAAATAAAGGCTGTTTGCTAAGCAGTTGCCTTCTTCATCGTCTTTATGCACTGCAGGTAAAGCTGTGGCCACTGCTTATAGCACAGGCTGAAAAGGTAACCTTCTGGCATTTTAGTTTTCATTCTGCCCCTCATTCCCTGGGCTTCCTTTGGGTCCAGATTTTTCAAAGCAAGCACCAGTTCTGAGAATTGTGAATGTATGAATTTCTAACCTGGAATTTTTCAGATGTGTTTTCCAGGGATGCCGAACTCCCTGCTGACTCCCTTGGACATTATGGCATGTACTGATTGCCATCCGGATACCCAGGCTCTCCAACCTGGTGGTCACTTTAAGGAACAGATGCCTCCATTTGCTTGTCTTCTGAAAGAAGATGAATAATCATAACACACTTTACAGATTGTATTGAAACCCAGTTTAAACCTCTCATGTTTCTTAGTAGATATTACTCAAGTGCAGGGTATGATTTTCTTCATTTTTCTCAGTCCTTTTTTTTCCTTAGCTTTTTTTGGACTGTTGAACAAATTTAAAATACTATTACAACTGTCAAGAATTAATTTCACAGAGAAACATTTTCCTTTCCCCACTTAATTGTCATTCATGCTGCTGTTCTCCACACTACCATTCCATCCTGTGACACGTCTACCTCACTCTTACTACACTTTGCTAATTTAACCGTGACTTCTCCGTCCGTGAACTTACATTCATTTAGCATATAATGTCAAATGATTTATTCTTATCTTCAGAATGTAATTACACACTCTCTAATGTTGAAATTTAAACAAAAGGACGTTTTTCTCCAGGTTGCTCTTCCCATGTTCATGTTTTCAAACAAAACAGTTACTGAAGCCAGGAATAACCCTGCCAGTTTTTCTCCCATAATCATATGGATTGGCTAGATAAAGTACCCTGAAGACCTCAGGACACTAATAGACTGTTTCTCAAGATCAGTGTCAGAGATACCAGTATGACTGGATTACTTCTAGGATCTAAGGCTAATCTAAGATTTTTGTTCCTGTGTTTTGGCAGGAAAGCCCAGTAGTTTCTTTCCAGACGACAGTTTTATAGACTCTGGAGAAATTGATGTTGGCAGACGAGCCACACAGAAGATCCCTCCTGGTATCTTTTGGAGATCTCAGGTGTTCATCGACCACCCAGTGCATCTGAAATTCAATGTGTCTTTAGGAAAGGCTGCTCTGGTTGGCATCTATGGCAGAAAAGGCCTCCCACCATCACATACACAGGTAATGGGACCTCATTTCAATCAAATAAGTTGACTTAAATTCTATGTTCTTATGGTTTATTGTTTTATTTCAGCTATTTCTTTCAAGAATTTGTTGCATGCTTGCAAGGTGTTAAAGGTCATCTATTCAGAGAAAGATAATCAAGTGACAGATGCAAAATTTGCACACATTAACCTGGTGGGCTGTTGGCACAGGCAAAGCAGGCAGTTGTCTAAGGCAGCAAGCTGCCAGAGAAGGAAAAGGGTTTTGTGGGCTGGTGGTCACTGAGGGTATCAGCTCGTTGCTCCTAGCAGCATAAGCTACCACCTTTTTCATCTCATGCAGCAGCAGCCACACTCAAACTACATCAGAAGGAATCATCTCTTAAGCGGTCTCATGTATCTCAGGTCCGTCCTCCTCTTTCAGCCTCTGCATTTCCCCTCTCATGGTAAGAGCAGCAAGACCCTAGTTGCTCACCCTCATGGGAGCAAGATTCTTGATTCAGTCTTCTGTGCTGAAATGCCTTGGGCCATCCCTTCACATTATGCACGTTGACTGTCAGATTAGACTGAGATTGGTCAGGCCTAAGTGATTGGTGTATAACCAAACAAAATCAAGTTCCTACAGAAAGCCAGCGGCTTACTTAGGCAGAAATCAAGACATAATTATTATTCTGTAGGACTAAAATGAAAGCCGTTGCTTTTCTTGACACACCTTGGCAAAAACCATGTCAAGAAATCACTTTCTGGGAAAACCTCTGAAGAACCATCCCCTTAAATAAGGATTTTATACATTATTTTCTCTACTTTCCATTTGAGTTTCTAAGCTGCTCTTAACCAGACTGATTAATACATAAGGGCATAACTCTCACTGGCAATGCAAAGCATCTTACTCCCACTTGCATCAGCAAGTTATCAAAGTATTACCAGTTTTATTTTAATGTTGTAACTTACCCTTGCCTTCCACTATCAACTGAAAAGCCTAGTAACCAACACAAATATTTGAGATTTACAGAAATACCCTGCCTTTATTTTCTTTTTGAACAAATATGTTTATTACAATCTTTCTGAGTAATATGGTATTGTCTACATATGAACAAACCTGCAACTTATTTATGTCAAAGAGGTGTTGTAAATCTACACCTTTTCTGCCTACTTTTCTGCAGAATTAAAATATTTCAATAGGATCAGCGGGTCATAAATTCGGTGACATAGTAGTGCTGTTGTTGCTCATTTTTAATCAGTATCTTTACAGGGAGACTCAAACATTTAAAACTTGAAACTCCTGCATTATTTAAATAAAAACTCGTCATGGTCACATAATACTAACTGCAGAGCAGAAGTCCGTTTTGATTTTATTTTTTTATTATCATTTATTATGAAGAGTTTCAATTGTTTAAATAACAAATGTAAAATTTAACACCAAAACCTCAAGTCTATTGAACTTAAAGCAAAATCTTCAAATGTAGCAGGGCACTATACCCAACGGTAGTAATATTTTACGCAATTAAGAAGCCCACACTGACTTCACCATTGCTGCTGTTTTTTCTTTACCTTCATTTGTGCTGAGATATTCTGAGGGTTTTGTCAGTGTCAGGACCTTTCCTATTTAAAATAGCATAGTGTGTATCACTTGAAGCCTCAGCTGAGAATGAGACGCTGAATGTGGGATGTGGCACATGTTTGACAATATTATGTGCTGTAGGAGGCAATGTACTTGCTCAGAATCCTTGCAAGTGCTGCTTTTTTGGGAGCTGCCAAGTATATAAAAAAAATCATCATCTGGACCAAAACATCACCAGAAATGACCAGAGGGACATTTTTATACAAACAATAAAAATCATGGTATGCTAATAGAAACAGATCACAAAACCCACCCTGTTCTGAAGATATAACTTAATGAAGCTGCAGATATTGAATCAATATTGATTTATTACTTATTAATATTTAATTTGGTTTTTTAATTATGCCTTTGCTTAGATTTATTATTTTATAAACCTGCTGTCAATTAAAGCATTGTTCTCCTTCTGCATATTGATATATGATGTTTAACCTCACCATAGTTTATTAGTCTTATGAGTCTTAGGAGTCTTTAAATAAATAACCTGTTTTCTGTGTTGAAATTGTAAACTTGTCACTCATAGTTAATACATATTACACAAATCTCATCTTTTCTTTTGCATAATCCAGGGTACCTGCTGCACCCCATAAATCTACCCAATGAGTTCTATATTTCCAAATTCTGTAAGGAATTTCATAAACAAAACTTTGGTAAAATATATGCTTAGATCAGTGATAGTCTCACTCAGAATAATTTAATAAAGAGTCAATTCTTTTCACCAGCCTATCTTTTTGATAGCAATAGTAAAACTTTAGCTGATAATCAGGTTTTCTTCTATGTTAGATAATTAGGTATTTATCCCATTTAGATAATCCACCTTCTGTAGTGTGAGCCTTAACATAGTCTATTGTCTTTCAGGAGCTTTGAATTGATTCCGAGGCTGTAGAGCCTTAGCATATATTCCTGAATTTGGTAAAATATTAAAAGTCATGTTTATCCATGCTAAACAACTGACTATTCCAGATTCTCTCTGGGAAAATTTCTCTGCCTGTGGTGATCTGTCTTCTCGCTGAGGTTGCCAACAGCCATGGACACCGATAAGTAGGAAGAAAATGCAAGCTCCAAATTTCATTAGGCTTAGAAATAGAGCCTGCAGAAGCCTAAAATATTTTACTGTTAACTAAAGGCATTTCTTCTAGTTATTCTCAACAAATCATAACAGAAGTTACACAGTTTTATTATGGCCTATTAGATTTAACCTTCCCAGATCAAATAATTTTTTAAACTCTTTTTAACCTAGGCCAAATATTGTTAAATCATAAATTTTAGGGACTGGCCATCACAGCTTGTGGGAGGCATTTTTCCATTTGCACAATTTGAATCTATTAAGATGGTATTTTATCTACAATTTCTTTGCTTGCAGTAAATCTAATTGCATATTAAAGTTCTCTGAATGTATTAAAATGCAATAAAACACAACCCATTTGTGGTTCAATTAATATTTACAACTATGAACTAGTAACTTTGCAAAGTCATCAACATCCACAGCTGCATCTTGCAAATATTTATGAAAATAAACTTACTTTTGGCAGGAAGCCCCAAGTAGACATAACCCAGGTTGGACTACAACAACAGCAGCTCACCGTAGCTGGGTGCCATGAAATTTTTTTCATCTCACTAAGGTTTAAGCATCTACATGTAGCAAGAAACGGATGCTCGTAAGGCACAATCCATGGGACATTTGGAGCCAGATGAGACCACCAAAATGCTCAGAGGGCAGGAACAGCTCTGCTGTGAGGACGGGCTGGGAGAGCTGGGGGGGCTCAGCCTGGAGCAGAGAAGGCTCCGGGGAGACCTTCCTGCAGCTGCCAGGGCTGAGAGGGGCTGAGGAGAAAGGTGGGGACAGACTTTTTAGCAGGGCCTGTAGCGATAGGCCAAGGGGTAAAGGTTTTAAACTGAAAGAAGGTAGATTTAGGCTAGATCTAAGGAAGAAATTTTTGACAACGATGGTGGTGAACCACTGGCCCAGGGTGCCCAGAGAGGTGGTCGATGCCCCATCCCTGGAACCATCCCAGGTCAGGCTGGACGGGGCTCTGAGCAACCTGCTCTAGTTGGGGATGTCCCTGCTCATTGCAGGGGGTTGGACTAGATGGCCTTGAAAGGTCCCTTCCAACCCAAAGTTTCTATGATCCTGTGGTTTCTTAGATGTCAACTTTAGCATGAGGCAGATTCCATTCTAGAAGTGTCTCTTTCTTTGACTGCAGTCCAGTGGTTCTAGAAAACTAATTCAAGCTGACACAGAGATGTCAGCACTTGGTGAGATGAACTTTACCAATAGTGCCCGCGATTACCTGTACCTTTTAAAAATCTAGTCAATCTGTCCCATTATGCTCCGAAATGGAAATGGAAATATGCAGCTTTTTCTCTTACTAGTTTTAACTTCCTTATTACACCTGGCCAATGTGTTCCTCAGTCAGACTCATCCCCGATGAGACATTCCCAGCAACCAAACAGCACCGTGACATCCTCTGTCACTGCCCTTCTCAGCTGTGTCAGTCATACCCACACTGAGAGCCGATGAGGAATCAGCCTAAGCTCATACTCAGAGGGTCTACAAATATCTGACTCACACAGTGTCATTCAAACCAACCTCTCACCAGTATCATCTTAAACTTAAAATCATTAAATCATTATATTTTTTCATAACAGAAACTTATATTTTTAATTATCTATTTTTAGATTTTATATTTACATTACATTCTTAGATTTTATAGTTTTGTGTCGTATATTTTTATAATTTGTGTTTACATTGTATTTCTTCAAAACAGAAAAACTGTCTCTGACAAAGCTAACTTGGATGGACACCCAAAAGGAATGCCCTTTGCAGGTGTAACATATTTAACGTTTTCAGAAGACACTTCAGCACCAAATTTGAGTGATCTATATAATATAACAGAACAAAAAAAACTAAAGCAAGGCTCAAAACTTATTTCAATCCAAATAGATAGTTAGAAATATAGTAACTAACATATTCTAGGGACAAATTTTGTCATTTCATGTGCAAGCCATGCCATATATAGTTTATTTCTCAAAAGGTTGCTGGAAATAATACACACTTTTAATTTCTTTTTACTTAGCAATGACTGCAGACAAAAGAACTTGTCATTAATTCTTTATGTTGATTGACTTTGAAGACCATACCAGACAACGTAATAACAGAAGCATCCAAATTTTGTTACAGTAAAGTCAAAAGGGATAAGAAGCCTAAATATTGTTGCCACACTCAGCCAACACTCAGCAACTATTCAGTGCAGAAGCATTTACTCGTACAAAAATAAGTGTCATTTTTTCTTTCTGCTCGTTTTCCTCCTTCCTGCCAAAGGCTAAAAGCTTATTTGACCAACTGGATGTGAGAGGCAAAACCAAGTGAAGTCAGGGAATAGGAAAGCTAAGCTATGCCTCAGATGCTGGATTCTGCTCGCAAGATGTCCTGGTCACCTAAAGGCATGATAAAAGTCAGATTAGATAAGGTTCACAACATTTGTGATGTCTGCTAGGCGTGTATCTAACTCATCCCATTAATGTATTACCAGACAAAATACAATTATCGTAGAAAGTCTGTGGAAAGTTATTTAAACAGGGAACTAAAGGTAGTTGCAACACCAGTAGCAAAATCAAAGCAGTTGCTCTGCTGAAGTTAACCTGGCAAAAAATACCTAAGTCCCTTTGAGGAAAACTTCCAAAAGCCACTCCCTAAATGGGACTTTTATATATTACTTTATCACTTTTCCATCTTCATGTTCTATGATCTTTTAACCACTTTTGCTATTACTTTAAGATAAAACCCTTGCTGACTAAGCAAAATACTTCTGCAAAACCTCTACCACAATTTACTTACAGATACCTTTTATCTTTTCCTTGGTGATCCTCGGTCCCCCAAAACACCCTTCTCTCTACATTGGAGAGATATGGATTTGATGGGTAGACTCTTGGGTGGATGAGGAATTGGTTGGATGGTGGCATCCAGAGGGTAGTGGCCAACAGTTCAATGTCCAGATGGAGATCAATGACAAGAGGTGTCCCTCAGCGGTCCATATTGGGACCAGCACTCTTTAATATCTTCATTAATGACACAGACAGTGGGGTCGAGTGCACCCTCAGCAAGTTGGCAGGTGACACCAAGCTGAGTGCTGCGGTTGACACACCTGAGGGACAGGATGCCATCCAGAGGGACCTGGACAAGCTCGAGGAATGGGCCCAAGTGAACATCATGAGGTTCAACAAGGCCAAGGGCAGGGTCCTGCACCTGGGTCAGGGCAACCCCCGGAATCAATCGAGGCTGGGGGATGAAGGGATGAAGAGCAGCCCTGCTGAGAAGGACTTGGGGGTCCTGGTGGGTGAAAAGCTGGACAGGAGCTGGCAATGTGCGCTCACAGCGCTCTGGTGAGACCCCCCTGCAGGGCTGCATCCAGCTCTGGAGCCTTCGGCACAGCAGAAACATGGATCTGGGCCAGAGGAGGCCCCAGCAATGCTCCGAGGGCTGGAACATCTCTGCTGAGAGGACAGACTGGGAGAGCTGGGGGAGTTCAGCCTGGAGCAGAGAAGGCTCCGGGGAGACCTTCCTGCAGCTGCCAGGGCTGAGAGGGGCTGAGGAGAAAGATGGGGACAGACTGTTTAGCAGGGCCTGTTGTGACAGGACAAGGGGTGATGGTTTTAAACTAAAAGAGGGCAGATTTAGACTGAATCTAAGGAAGAAATTTTTGACAACAAGGGTGGTGAAGCACTGGCCCAGGTTGCCCAGAGAGGTGGGAGATGCCCCATTCCTGGAAACAGCCCAGGTCAGGCTGGACGGGGCTCTGAGCAACCTGCTCTAGTTGGGGATGTCCCTGCTCATGGCAGGGGGTTGGACTAGATGGCCTTGAAAGGTCCCTTCCAACCCAAACTGTTCTATGATTCTATGACCCGTAGCAATTCTGGCAAACAACCCAGTTAGGCTAGATACATTTTTCTGTCTATTTTCCTTATTAGCCAAGACACAAAGGTGGTAACACATAAGCTTCTTATCATCACAGTTGCAGTGCAATTTAGGCATGGTCTCTGGACCTCATGTTTCCCTGCTGATGTTTCTACAGAATGAGAACACATCAGTAAGGTGAATATGCTCCAAGTCATGTTTTAAATAAAGATGATTTCTCATTTCCTGTAATTACAGAGAAATACATTCATACACCAGCTATTTCCAAAATGGTTACTTGCAGGTAGTCCAGGAACATGCTTGAGTTACCACAGAAAATCCTGTTTATGTTTCTTCTTGTTCTGGTT